TGTGTGTGTGTGTGTGTGTGTGTGTGTGTGTGTGTGTGTGTGTGTGTGTGTTTTGTGTGTGTGTGTGTGTGTGTGTGTATTTGGTATCTGGCATCACATTCTTCACACTGGCCTTGCACACGTTAATGTCAAAACACTGGAACGGGAAATTGCACTAAAACAAACCAACATGATGGCAGTTCTAGTGGCCTGCAATTATAGTGCCGTGGGTAAATCAAACTGTGGCTTTCTTCTGCATCTTCCTACATCTCCTGCAGTTACAAGGTATGAACTTCCTCCTTACATTCTAAATACTAATGGTGTTGCGCAGAGCTCTTCATTAAGACATCTCTCCATCACAGTGTATCCCACATAGCAGGAGCTTCATTGCAGAATCTGCTGCCCCAGACTTTGGTGCAATTAGCAAGAGGACAAAGCGAAGGAATGTATTATGAGCATTTTCTGTCAATAAGTGGAAATTGAATAAACCAATGAAAGAACAAAGAAGGTAAGTTTTTTAAAAAAAGTTATTTGATACAGGAGAGGTGAAACAGACTGCAGCCAGTTCCTTTTCAAATCTTACACCCGTTTACCCACTTTCTCATATCATGGTTTTCACAGTGCTTTTTCCACTGGTGCCTGTAGTAAGAGAAAATGAATCAGAATAAACTGTATATGCACATGTACTATTTTGATACAAAGCACAGTATCAGCAAAAAAAAAAAAAGCCAATGTTTTTCTCCCAGTGGTAGGTTCATCCTTCCTTCCCCCACCCCCGCTTTAACTACTGGCCTTCTGCAAGATGATGAAAGCAATGTTATTAGATGGGCTTTTGAATCCTGTTAGTGGCTTCAGATTGCCACTTTCAGTGACAATCCTATTGGGTGGGGTGGGTTTTAAAATATTAAATTTGTAATTTTATTCTGATAGGTTTCTGCACCCTCATTTTATTTCACTTCTCTGAAAGCCTTCCATACATATCTTAATCATGCATATAGATACATTTCATAAATGTGGCCATATGCATGACCAGTCAGTACAGTAGTTGATAGGCATATTTATGCACATTCTAATTTTGCAGTGAAGGCCCCTAAAAGGTCTTTTTTTTTAATTTTATTTTAAAATAAAACCATCACAGTTCAATTAATGGAGTCTATAAGATTACGTGTTTGTATCTTTGGAATTTGCTGGCTGGGCTCACACAATTCTGTAGACTAAAGTAAAATGGAGTTGCTGTTGTGGTTCAGCATATTGCAGTGATCCACCACAAGTTTAGTGAGTTGTGTAAATTAGACCATCATGTTAAGTCATAAATTAGCATTTATGTGTAGTACTATTTGGACATTATAACTGTGTTTTTTAACTTTTTTTTTTCTTCTTACTTAGGCTCCCATGTCTCTATCAGCCTGAATATAATTGCCTCTCAAAGCGACTAAAAACTGGGGTTTTGTAGCTATTTTGCTGTGAAAGACACATAAAATAACATTAGGAACTCTAATATTGCTTTTTTTTAGAATCCCTCTGAAGTAGATTCCACATGCAGACCCAGATGTGGTAAATCAGCTGTTCTTTATGCTGAAAATCCAGATAGATTACAGCAGAATTAGTTACCTGACAGTATAATATAAATTATTTGAAAATATGAGGAAATAAGCCCAAAAGAGGCAGGATTTCTACATCTTCAGTATAAATAGCCCTCATTTTTCTTATTCGGTGAGTTGCCGTTTCACATATTGGCAATGAGAAAGTAGAGATCAGATTTTGCAATTCATAGTGAAGAGTTTCATGTATTTATAGTTTGGTTTATGTGATTCTGTTTGAAGAGAACATTTGGAGTGGGGGTTTTAATGTTACGAATATGAAAAATTGCAGAGATGCATTTGCAGATGCATAAAGTACATTTTTTCAAGGTTTTCTTGAAAAGGTTTCCACAATTTTCTTATCCACAATTGTTAAATTGAGATTAAGAACCCACACAAATTACAAAATTCACCTGCATTTCACAAAAAGGAATAATGAAGCCCAAGTTGTTTAAAAGAGTTGGGAGAGGGAATTGTTAGGCAATCTGTACCTGCAGACTTTTCCTTTCTTTAAAACAACTCGTAATAGACAGGTCCACTAGTCTCCAGCAGTCGCCAACTGGTGGGCCGCAGCCCACTGGTGGGCCATGAGAAAATTCTGGTGGGCCGCAGAGAAATGTCACCCCCAGAACACCCCCCAAAGCAATTAATCCAGGATGAGCAGGAAGATGCCCACATGGCCCACGGGAACCCTCCCCGCCCAATCACTCCTTACCCGGCAAACTTGCCTGCTAAATTGCTATTTTTCCTTTTTTTTTTTTTTTGTCCACCAGTTGTTCTGCTTTGCTGGGAGATTTAGATTAGCTAGGAAGTAGGAAATGGTTGGATTTCTTGCTTTCTAGCTAGTCTTTAGATCTTCGGGTCTGCTTTTAAGCACAGCCGAAACTCCCTTAGGACTGAAGGTTCTATTATTCAGTGCAGACTCACGGCAAGCAAATTTTATGTGACAGACTGACCTAGCCAATGTCAGATAGATAGATCTCTGAATGAATCTGTGATTTTGTGAGCAACTCAATCTGCCTGCCTGTTTTGCCTGATTTTGGGTAAAAGTTGCTTTTTTAAAAAATAAAAAATTCAATATTTATATAAATATTTATAATATTTACATACAAGCCATGCCCATCACCACCAAGCCACACTCACAAATTAGGCCATGCCCACAGAACCGATTAGTGGTCCCTGAGATTTAAAATTATGAGTTTGGTGGTCCCTGAGGTCCAAAAGGTTGATGACCCCTGCTCTAGTCTGTCTATCACATTTTTTCTATTATAGGGGTGTTTCTTGTCATTTTGGTAACAACAGCTTCAGATACAAAATGCAAGTGAAAAAAAGTTACAGTGGTACTTTGCTATTCATCATTAATTGGTACCAGCCAGGAGGCACGATGAGTACCAAAAATGATGAGCACCAAACAATTTTCCCCTGTAGGAAATAATGTAGTGAGTCACAAGGCAGCCGACAAGTTCTAGTTTGTGCGTTGAGTACCAAACAAACAATTTTTCAGGACAAAATTTTCACATCAAAATGCATCAAGTACCCAATTCAAGGGATTTCAAACCAGTTGAGTACCCAGATACCACTGTACCTGTTTAATATTAGCCATAAAAAGGACAGGGGAAGGACAGGGCAGAGAACTGGCAATTCTATTTGAAAACACATTTCCAAAGGACATATTATCACATGTAGATAATGAGGCTGAAAGAGACAGCCAGGTGTTCTTCAGTATTTGAGATGCAACCCACAACCTAGAACAAAGCTTGTTAGAGAAGTTGTCTGAAACAGGATGCCATCCATGGAACCCAGGTTTTTTTAAAAAAAAACTGATCTAAAACATTCAGGCAGCACCAAATTATCCATCTGTGAGCTATGTGAGATTGTCCTAGTCTACTTATCATTAGACAGAGGCAGCCATTTGTTCTCCTACCAGGCAGCCATGCCAGTGGAGCCTTTCACAATCTTTTTGGCACACATGATGTCATCTTCAAGATCAGGATTCAGCAAATCTTAAGAGAGAGAGAGAGAGAGTGCACAAGCAACAGAGGGAGATGATAGAAATATGTGAATAAAGGCAGCAGACACAAAGTTGGAAGAAACTCTTTTGAGGCAGAGAAAAGACTTCAGGTAGTCCTCGACTCACAACAGCTCATTTAGTGACTATTCAAAATTACAACGGCACTGAAAAAAGTGGCTTATGACCATTTTTTTCACCCTTATGACCTTTGTAGCATCTCCATGGTCAGGTGGTCAAAATCAAAATGCTTGGCAA